TTCTCCGCTCTGGTCGTGGAAGACCGGAAGCTGTGTGGTTCATAAAAACATGTTCTTAACATGTTCTTATCAAGCCACAATTATTGCTTTTATTTTAAATCGTATCATTTCGGACTTTTGTTTCCGTCTGTGAGGAAAATAAATGGGGCTCAGAGCCTCAGGATACTGAAATCTGTATTTTTTCAATCTTTTTTTCGTTCTAATTTGTTATTATTTTCAAAATAACACACTGTTATTTGCTCACCAATAACACACAATTATCCTTGCTTTTATTTATTGGTTTAATTCCATAATCTCGGGCTTTTTTGGCGTCCGTCAGGAACTGAATTTCAAAATAAAAATAACCTCTAATCCAACCGAAGTGATCGTAACGTTACTTTGCAAACCGCCCCCCCCACACACACACACACACACACACACACAAAAGGACACGGTAACGTTGTGATTCACTTCAATTAATGATAACTACTGAGCTTGCTAACAGCAAGGCACAAGGCTACTTCACTCATTTAGCTAATGTAAGATACAAATGCTGTCGAGCCCTCACTGCTTGTAAAATAAAGAGCACAAACTGACTACTTACCCGAGCGGCGAGCCCCACTGTTCTCCGTCATTTTTCTCCCGGGTTGTTGTGATCACATGACTGACAAAGCCGTGCTCTGATAGACCAGAAGTCGGTTTGATTGCATAAGGGCTCGATTGCTTATCCTGTCTGAGTAGCCCCGATGATGCTGCATCGCAAGTTTGGACATCGAATTTTATACACCGAATTTTTTGACGTCGAATTTTTTTCACTTGAATTTTTGGGATCTGAATTTGAACATTTTTATTTCACATACTGTAGGTAAATTCGGAGCAAAAACATTCAGATACATGATTTTCAAAGTAATTATTTTCAATGCTATAAATCCCATGGGAGCCTGCCTGCAGACCTCCACTCTCAGGACAGTTCCGGTGCAGACCTCCACTCTCAGGACACCTCCACCATGTCAGTACAGGAAGTGACGATTCTGACGCGTTTTTTTTCCCTCCCACCGAAGGACTCGTTTGATGGAAGTTGTCAAATCACAATGGAGACTCATCACGGAGGTGATGAGTCCGCCCACCATGCACTTTGGGTCGGCCTTGGTCAAGCCCTTTTGACCCCCCCAGCCTGGTTCTTGTAAAAGTTTTTCGCTCAAATGACACCATGGAGGAATGTAACGGGAGTTGACAGGGGACTCTGCCCGCCTCACGAGTGCCTATTTTCGGACACTTATTTTCACTTTTCCCCGGTTTTATTATTTATTTATTTTTTGGCTATTTCACCCGGTTTCTACCGGGGACATTGCCCGGTCTCGGGTGTCCCCCCACGGCCTGTGTCCAGCCCCCCCCCCACTCATGCATATATTAACGGATTTTGACAATTTTTGTTGCATTTTTCTCCTCTCCTCTCACTGATCGAATGGCAAACGCGACCCACTGTCGGAGGGCCTCCGCGCTGGCCTAGTGCCGGTGCTCTGGCGGTCGGTTCCTCCGAACTGCGGGTTCGACTCTGTTGGCCGGGAGGGTGTGCTGCGTTGGGGTGGGGGACTTCCCCCACTCTGCGTGTCTCTTCCTTCCCGGGCCGGCCGATCTGAAGCGTGACCAAGACGCACCGTACAGGGGTCCCACGGGTCCCGCAGCGGGGTGAAGGTTCCCAGCTGGAACCTCCCCACCTCCGCCGCGGTGCACCCGGCAAACACGGTTGTTTCTCGAACCTTCCACTGTTGTCTAGCGCAGTGGTTCCCAAACTTTTAAAAACAAGTAAAAATCTCAAGGCACACCTATTGTGCAAAATAGCCCTTATAACACGTGTTATCACTCATATCATGTAAAATATCTGTAAATGTGCATAATTATTTACTAATGCCAAATAAAATGTGACAAAGACAACTATATTACTCATGAAATATTTATTAACGACATATTTCAGAAATTAATTTGAAACTTTATCAAATTAGGCTTCATCAAAGCAGCAACACACTCATTCAAACCAGACAGGTCACAACATTACAAATGAGGCAAAGGAAACTCAGCAGAAATTCAGCACAGAGAACTGTCAATGCAAGGACGCTGCATTGTCCATGGTCCTGAACTACAAATTATAAATGTAACATTTCAGCAATCAGCATTGAAACATGTGCTATTGTAAATGTGAGGGAATCATTTTGTCTTTACTCCTAGATATTTAACCTTATTGCCCGTTGACGTTAATAACCAACCAATATTCTGTTATCTCCTTTAAGGAATGTGCTCCAGCACTTAAGTGTCAGTTTTATGGCCTGATAGGGGGGTTTACGACTGTGAGAATGCTGGCTTCTAAACACCACTGACAAGTGATTGAGTATTTCCAGTTGGGGGATATCTCCTGTAGCTCCACAGATGTTTACGCCTCCCCCAATATGCTGATTAACTCTCTGTAAACTATTTAAAAGGTGTATCGAGAGATAGGCTGGGCAGAATTGACATGACAACCCACCCGTGCAGTCAGAACCTTTTGCTGCTGTGACTTGTGATATGAATTCTCCGGCCGTTGACTTGTAATAAACTACCAGTGTTTGACATCAAAGCTCCAACTCTCCTCGTGTCTCTCTGAGTCCTGACTCTCCATTGCTGCAGAAGTTTCCCTTACAGTAAATATTTTTGCCGACTTACAAATTAGTGAGATACATGTTTCTGTCGGGGCGCGCAGAATTTTGTTATCCTTGGTGACACTGAGGAGAGGGCCACTCGCAAGTCCTGTTCAACAGAGAGCCGTGACCTCCTGTTGTTCTTCATGTAAATCAGAGTAGAGAACGCCAACTCCAGAGATGGGGTCGTTACTAAAAAAATGTAATATATTACTTTTTAAAAGTAATGTATTACACTACTTCGTTACTATCTACATAAAGTAACTCGTTACTTTACTCGTTACTTTACTCGCCGAGCATGTACGAACTGCGCATGCGTGAGTGGCAATAACTTTCCTTACCAGCAGGCGGCGGTAGTGTGTATTTGTCATTCAAAACAGGCAACAACCGGAAGACAGAGAAGAAGAACAGACTACGTGATATAAACAAACAACAAATAGCGTGTGCGTTAGCTTCACCTTAGCATGTGTTCTTTGCAGGTGTTTGTTGAGGTTTGACGTGGTGTTTACAGCAGTGGATAACAGCTTCTGGCCTGGACACAGTTTGCACCTCACCGTCATATTCCTGTCTATTCTTCGGACGAACTCAAAGTAATGGGCATACCTCCACCCCTCGAAAGTTATCGCTGACTCAGCCATGTTTATGCAGCACTGCACGTGGAGATGTGGACGCGCAAGTCGCGCAGATTACGTAGGCTACATATAAACCTACAAAGTACTGATATAGTAAATAAAAAAATAATTATTTGTGTGCAGTTGTATATTGCAATAATAACGTATGGTTGTCACAAAATCCCACGGCACACCCGGACTTGCCTCACGGCACACCGTTTGGGAACCACTGGTCTAGCGGGTGTAACTAAAATACAAGTCTGGTACAGCAGTTCAGACAACCTCTCCCGGAATAAACTTCAACGTATCATCAATAAAGCATCAAAAATCACCTGCAGTCCCCTTCCATCACTCGAATCACTTCACCACCAACGAACTGTCACAAGGGCAAAGAAAATCATTTCTGACCCCTCCCACCCAGGTCACCATGTCTTCCAACTTCTGCCCTCAGGGAGGCGCTACAGGTCACTGTCCGCCAAAACCGCCCGCTTCAAAAACAGCTTTTTCCCCTTTGCAATACGGACACTAAATGGACTCTAAATAACCCCAATGAACAATAACAATCCACCACACCTTGAACTTTATGTTATATGTCTTTGCCCTGTGCTGTGTGTTGTACTTTTTATTGTCTGTTTATTGTATGTTGAATTGTATGGAACAAGCTGTAATACTCTGCACTGAACACGAATTCCACCAGCCTGGCTGTGTGGTCATTAAAGATTCTAAAGATTCTAAAGATGTCGTATTTATATATATAGATAATAAGTGTCAGTACGATTTTATTTTGTATTTGCGTGCATTTCCTGTTCGGAAAGTGGTGCTGCGGCTGTAGGCTACTGATAGTAACAACAATACAAGGTGTCTGTATATATATATATATACATATATATACACATATGTATATATATACACAAATGTATATAATAAGTGTCAAGATCCAATTTTATTTTGTATTTGCGTGCATTTCCTGTTTGGAAAGTGGCACTGTACTGATAGTGGTGATTTTATTTTGGAATTCTTAGCGTGCACTTCCTGTCCTGAGAGTGGAGGTGTCCTGAGAGTGGAGGTCTGCACCGGAACTGTCCTGAGAGTGGAGGTCTGCAGACAGACCCCTCTCGTAAATTCGGTGTATAATAAAATTCAAATACTTCTGTCTCTTGTTTGCTTCCATAGCCCCTCCCTCTCTACGACTCCCTTAGCTTTGCCATAGACTGCAAAGATCACATCAAAATCAGAGCTCATTCAATTGTGGTCCTAAGGGGGGTACTATGCCCCCAAAATATTAGGCATTGAACCCCCTCTTAAAATAACTTAAAAGTAACTTTAAAATATACTGTAAACTTTGAAGGTGTTTTTTCTCAGAACGGCGTCTTCATAACAGTCATGTAATATTTGCAGTACGAAAACAGTAAGGCTATAATTGGAAAAATAAGGATCTCCTTTTTCCAATGGTGTACATAACTCAAAGTTTTGTTTTGGGGTCAAAGTGACTTTATCTGTGCCTCTGAAGATCGTCTTTAGTGATAGGAAAAACCCAGCATGTTTCTGCTGAAAGCTTTTATGAAGTTGTCGTGTAACCCTGATAAAGTCTCTCTCTGAGAACACTGAATTATTTATTCTGTCTACAACATTCAGTCCTTTTTTTTACCTTGTTTGAAAGTGATTACTTTTTCTCCACCATCATGTTTTCTGTTTCTCTCTTCTCTCTGTCTTTACTCTTCCTTCTTCCCTTCCGTAGGCCTGGTGATGATAGGAGTGATCATTGGCTCCAGGAAGGTAGGGATCAACCCGGACAACGTGGCCACCCCCATCGCTGCCAGTCTGGGGGATTTAATCACTCTGTCCCTGCTGGCCACCGTCAGCACCGTACTGTATGAATATATAGGTGAGGAATAATCTCAGCTCTGATTTATGACTATCTCTCACATCTGGACCTTTTCTTTCAATCATTTTCTTTTTCTTTTTCTGGAAGTAATGAGAACAGTGTCACGCAGTGATTTAGGGCTGCAGATCTCAATTGATTCAATGTCAACTATCAAAAGTAATCAAGAAATGTATTGAAAGTAAACTCAAGCCCAAATCTTTAGATCACAGATTTCTAATGTGAGCGTGCTCCTCTATGAAAGTAAAATGTATATATTTGAGGTGTGGAAAACAATGAATTTGTATTCATTTTGTGAAAGACTAATCAATATTTTTCATAATTTTCATTATAGACTCATACATTATCAATTAATCCATCAAATAATGGACATGAAATGATAATAATGTATTTTATTTTAATTATTGTAATAGAGTGGCGAAGTCATGCCCATCTACTTCCGGTCCGGGACCTTATTTCGGAAAAACTATGTATTGAAGTCAATGAAGAGAGAAAACGTATCTTTCGATCCCGTTTGAATTGTGCCATGAATTACACATATGATGTTTGCCAATCTTAACAAATAATTTCCATGTCAAAAAAGTCACAGTTTGTTGTAAAACTGTTGAAATATAAGACTATGGAAAATACGCAACTAGAAAGACTACAAATCCCAGAGTCGCGTAAGTGATGTCATAACTGATGTCACAATTGTTTTCCTCCACCAAATAAGAGATAGCTAAGATAAGATAACTTTAAGATGCCTGTGTGCTTAGTACCAGGTTGTTATCATACCAGCAATGGGTATTGCTCGTTCTTTCGCTTCCCGTCTGATGAAAGGACCAGGAGTGGCTGGATCAAGTTAGCTACCTAGCTAGTAGCAAGCACGTTAGTTAGCATTACAGCCTTAGCCTTGTCATTTTTATTAGCCTTAACATCAAGTAACATCAAGTAACCCAAAATGTTAAACAGTAAGAGTAGTCATATTTCGTGAACCCTTTGAAGAGTAGGCTACTGTCACACCGGTGTGATCATTCTATAATACACAATTTAAGCCCGGGGGAGAAATGCTAACGCTAATGCTACATTAGCATCGGCGATCTGTTCTACTTCATGCTATCGGCACAAATGGTTGACATTAAACATTAAAAAGATCAGGCAGTTCAGAGAGAATCAAAGGAAGGCAGGCAGGCAGCTTTGCATGACATTCTTCTGGACGTGTTTCATTGTGGTGATAGTGAGGGTAGTCAATCCCTTGTTTGGCAAGACAGTAGTGACGGCCATCTTGGTGTTGTGTGTTGTTGTGCTAGTCGGCGAGACCAGAGATGTAGTTCATTAAGCGTTTCACACAAAAAATGTGTTACTTCACAGTTTTACGACACATTTTTATTTTTTTTACTTGCAAAATTAACTTTTAAATTGACAAACATCATACTGTATGTGTAATTCGTGGCACAATTCAAACGGATTCGAAAGATAATCTTTCTCTCTCCATTGACTTCAATACATATTTTTTCCCGAAATAAGGTCCCATGGAGCTCCCCCGGAAGGGGAGGGACTTCGCCACTCTATTGTTGTATTAATAATATGAACTTGCAAAGTAACTATTAAGTACTGTTGTGAAATAAGTGTAGGGAGTAAACATTAAAATATCTTCTTCCAAATTGTAGTGCATGACACACATCTTTTTTATTTGTCAGACTATATACCACCATATGGCATTTTAAACCAATGTCAATAACCAAACTGCAGCTGTCAATATTGTATTTTGATAACTTAATGATATCATAATCATATTATCAAAAAAAATTCCAAATCGGGATCAATATAGTACTATCTTATCTTATCATATACAGTATCCTGTCATGTATGTCTATTACTGTGTTCTCTTTTTTTCTTCATATTATTTTCTCTGAGTCAGATGTACTAGTGTGTCTCTTCCTGTCCCCCAGATGTGTGGTACCTGTCCCCCCTGGTGTGTGTGCTCTTCTTGGCTCTGATCCCCCTGTGGGTGGTGTTGGCGCGGCGCAGCCCCCAGATCAGCGAGGTGCTCCGCTCAGGGTGGCAGCCTGTTTTAGTCGCCATGTCCATTAGCAGGTACACACTTTTCATTCTTCAACGGGGAATAATATGAAAAACATCTAAATCTAACCTTTTTTTTATACAATTACATTTTCAATTTCATCTCAATTAACTTCCAGCTTAACTTGTTTTAGTTTATGCACTATATTTTTCATATTAAGTGTTTAATTAACTGTTACATTTGACTAATTTGGGGATCTTTACCATTTCTCCTTATTGTTGCCATTATTTTTTACTTATTTGCTTTTCTTAGTGTCAGGATTTATTTGTTTTATTTCAGTTTTATTCTTACCCAGCAATTTTTTTAATGAGGTCTCTTTTTATCAAAATCACAATGTGAACAGTTGCGATATTCAAATCACGTGAAGCACAGTATTTGTTAAATGCTAAATATGTGTTAAAAAAGCATATTGAAAAAAGTATTGTGGAGCTTAGCACAAAACAAAACAGATTTGTTTGGTACAGATTATTTGATACAATCACACCATAATAAATATTTGAATGGTAATAGGCATTATGATTACAATATGATAAATCCCTTATATAGTGAATCATATCCCAATATTAGTCAAAATAGTCACAATATTTCGTTTTTTTAAATAATGCAGCCCTAGTCTCTACCTCTATGTTTTTTCTAAGTTGAAGGTTAACCAGTGGATGCCATGGTTAAGCCCATGGATGTATAATAAGACCTGGATACAGCGTCGGAGGCGGGGTCTCGTTCTTTCCTATGAGAGCTGCTCATTGGCATATGAGGACAAAATGGCACAACTTTTGAGAGAGCAAAACGTCACAGATTACCCGCCATGCCTGGCTGTCAGAGCAGAAGTACCCGTATGTGCGCTCATAGAGCAGTTGAGCTGCCCCTTAAGCCCTCAGAATAACGTTATTAGCACATTTTACAACTTGAGGACCTAATGTTTTTAATAAGGGCTATACAAATGTTCATACTGGGTAGTTTATTTGGTTAAAAAAAAATTATCCAACGATTTACAGACCACTCTTTCCCAATGTTAGTCAATGGGAAAAAGTCTTTCTGGGCCCAGGGACATCACATACTGATACGGAAGTTGCAGTACCGCCGTTTGGAAACAAATAATATTTTCCTCAGAGTACGGCACACTTCCTGGGGGCTTGGTTAAGCCCCATGCCCCCGGTACTGGGTGCAAAACGCAACATCTTTCAAGAAACAGCGTCTGTGGGCTTCTTAACATTTAATAAACTATGAATGTGTCATACCCACTTAACGGGAAGAAACTCAGCTATCAGACAATATTAACAATGTTTAGCTAAACGAAACACAAGGGTAATAATAAGCCTCTGAATTAGCCCTGAGCGGAAAAATGCAAACGCACTTAGCACATAACTCACGGTATTAGTTATCGGATCTGCAAACCCAGACAACACACAACGTAGCTTTACGGGACCAAAACGGAAAATAAGTCTTACCGTTGCTGTTTTCTGATCAAAAGTTGTGTTCAATGGCATTAAAACACATAAAACGCTGCTGAAGGTTAATCCAATGTCTCTGTGTCATTTTGAAATGATTACTGATAATCCATCGTCATATTTATGGCAAAAACTGAGTTTTCATATATAGCTGCTATGATAGCTACAAGAGTGTATGACAGCTTCCGGTTTTGGGCATTCTGGCTGCGCATCACTCATTCACCAATGGGTGATGTTTAGATAGATTTTAGGAACTTCCCCTCGATTCTATTGGCTCTAATGGTTAAAAAGAGGTGTCAATCACCAAAATCGACCGAGGGGAGCCAAAGATATGGAAAATGCACCCAAATGACCCACAAAGTGGGTTTTTTTCTTCTAAATCTCTCTAAAAAGGTAAAATGTTACTTGTTTTGCATCAATCTTTATACAGGGTACTTATTATATGTAATAGTTGGTATTCCTAAAGCTTTTAGTCTTCGATCCCATCATTCAAGGGTGGTTTTCACTATAAGTGTTTTCTTTTTGGACGGACAATATAATTTAAAATGTTTTACTATGTTCAATCTGAATTTACTTTGAAATAAAAATAATTCTATATTGATTCTGACTTTTCTACATCCAACTCACAGGTTTATCATTGCTTTGAGAAAAAAGAATATTAATTTACCCCTTTTAGAAGTGAAGATATAGTCATTTGTACTGGGAATATCATTTTCGAGCCTGAGCCCTTAAAAACAGACTTGGGGCTTAACTGGTTAAAGAACTTCCTGGCAACCTAATTAATTATAATTCAAGCAGTATGTCATTAAATACATTACAATTATCTTTACAGGTTCATCTGAGCTGGTTGTAGTAGATCAGTTCAGGATTTGCTAATAAAACAGCTGAAAATAAAGGTTACCTTCTAACATCAGAATGGGAAACCATGGCAGTGGCTGTATGTGGCTCTGATTATCTCTGTGTTTGTGTTTCCCAGTTTTGGAGGCCTTATACTGGACAAGACAGTGAGCGATCCAAACTTTAAAGGCATGGCTGTCTTTACGCCTGTTATGAATGGTAAGCTCTTTCAAGCGAAACGTCAAAATGAGAGATGAAATGGCATTGTTGCCATTTATTGGTTATTCTCCAGATTTACAATTTCTGCAACACTTGCATTATTAAAGAGGCCCTATGCTCAGGTTCATATTAGGATTATGTGTCTCTACATGTCTTCATGCTTTAATGTTCAAAAAGCTCTTTATTTTTCTCATACTGCCTGTCAGGGCCGTATCCAGGATTTCCTAAATACCGAGGTCCAAACATGCTAGGGGGGTTCGGGGATATACCCAAAACATTGTCAACATTCATTTTCCATGTCTCTCTCCTTTCCATAACCTGCAGCCTCTCTTCCATCTTCTTTAGTCTCTCTGTCTTCTTCCTGTTCATTACTCTCTCTGTCCTCTACTCTTTCTCTTTGTTCAATCTCTCCCTCGTTGTTCACTTTTTGCTCCTCCTCACTTGTCGCTCCTGCCAGTGAATTAAAAGCAATTCAGCAATTTAGTTCATTTCACTTGTTTTTTGCATTATTTTTTGTATTTAAATCTGTTTTATTTGATTCTCAAAAGAGAACAAAGATGTAAGCAAATTGTGTATTATACAATTGTATGTTATGACATCATAACTGCAATAGATGTATGTTGTTTTAAAATTATGCCTATTGTCTATATTGTAAATGAATCTGTTATGATTTGTCAACTACTTAGAGTTGTATGGCAAAAGTCCCGCCCCCTAGCATATCATCTACAATGCGTTGGAGCGCTAGCCAATAGAAGCATAAGTATTACATAGTGATGTCACTATGTTACAGAAGTAAACAAAGGAGTCTAATTCAGGCTTATTATATTGCTAAAAAATGTCACTGAGCTAAAACAATAAAAATGATGGCTGTGTTTTGTCTGTAATATTATTGGTGCAATATATTACTGGATCTGACCTAAGATGGGGGCAGAACACTTGCAAGTGTTGTATGAGTCATGGTGCTTTCAGTGGACTCAATCCATTCTTTGTAAATTTGCCCCAAAATACATATAGTGTGACATTTTGCAACCAGTATATTTAAATCATTTCATTTTCATTCACATAAGGTGTCACAGTACTGACTTCAACTCACAACAACAACAAAAATCAGTTTTGTCAGATCTTCAAATATGTTTTCACATGTTGCCATAATGCTCTTCCGTACCTCACATTCCTAGTCATTATGTCCTCTCTGTTTCCTTCCCCTGTGTAGGAGTGGGTGGTAACTTGGTGGCCATCCAAGCCAGCAGGATCTCAACGTACCTGCACTTCTGGAGCATCCCGGGGGTGCTGCCCTACAAGATGAGGCAGCACTGGCCCAATCCCTGCATCACCTTCTTCTCCTCAGGTAACACTGCCATGCTGAATGCATGACTTTGCACCTTTCTACATAATAATAATAATGCATTTTATTTATAGAGCTTTTTTCTAGAAACTCAAAGACACTTTACAGAGGAGTAAAAAAAGAAAATCATTAAAATGGACTTCCGGTTGAGCGGCCATGAGGCAGGCAGTGTAGAGTTGGAGCTCCTTGACCCTGACAGCTAAACGCCTACTTTATGTGGTTAAAACAGTCTAATAGACAGTATTACGAATAAGGCGTTGGTGTAATGACCAAGGGGAAATGGAAAACTGCCGTACAGAAGAAAGAACAGACGCCTCCAGTTATAGAAAAGTCCGCTGATGATACGGCTAATGGTAACCATTTTTACCGAGGAATTAGCACTACTGGAAGCTAACAATATGGCAGACATACAGACAATACTCCAAGAATTTAGAGACTTTCGTCGGGAAAACGGCGAAGCGCTCCGTGATATTAAGGAATAAATTAATGCAACACACAACAGAGTGGACGAGGCTGAAAACCCAATCTCAGGGGCAGAGGAACAAGTGTAAGTCGTGGAGGAGGCTTTGCTAGAGGTGCTAAAGCTACAGGAGAGACTGGAGGCTAGGCTCACGGATCAGGAAGGGCGGTCAAGACGGGACTAGGCCTGTCGCGATAATTGATAAATTGACTTATCGTACGATAAATAAAAATGGACTCGATAACTTTTCTGAGCTCGATAAATTGCCGTTTACATAAGGATGTGACCAGCATTTTAGCTAGGAGCTGTGAGGGGCGGGGCTGACACACGAGCCAGGTCAGGACACTCTGCGTGCACATGCAGCAGCGTAGCAGCCAAATAAATAATATAGCGACAAGCGGGAGACAACGTGTGACTTACTCGCACATCTGGATTCTCCGGTCTGGCAGTATTTTGGATTCAAGCCAAATCAACGAGACAAATACGGACTTGAATGAGCCGGGCGGTGTGTCGCATTTGTTTAAAAAAGGTAGCAACAAAAGCAGGCAATACCACGCATTCTAAACTACACCTAAAACACAACCACCCCATTCCATTTTCCCAGCTGGTAGCAAACACGGCAGCTGGAGATGAAGAGCCCCCACCTTCCCGACAGTTTACAATCAAAGATGCATTTGCCCGACGACAATCCAAACATGTTGGTGTTCCTTGCTCGAAAACTTTGAAAAACAGATTTGGATATGGCCTGTTGAGGCATCTGCGTCTTTGTATGGACAGTGGACTATACACTTGAGTGTTGTTTTAAGGAGGCTTTTTTTGCTTGTGGGACAATGTGTGCTTTTATTTATTTATTTATATATAGATAGATAGAGAGATACGGAGAGCTCTGTTTTCCAGCCTGAGTCTATTTAATGTATTGTTTTGGTTGTATGTGATTTAATACATGTATTATCATTTAATTAATTTGTTTTATTTATTATATATCATTTATATATTTTAATATTATTTCACATTTCATTTGCAATGTTGAATGTTCAATAAAAAGTTATGTTTGAAAGTATGTATGTACTATTATTATATATTATCATTATGTCAGTGGTCTAAAATGGTCTTACAACAGTGCCGACAATATTATCGTTTATCGCAATAATTTCCAGGAAAGTTTATCATCCAACAAAATTAATTATCGTGACAGGCCTGGACGGGACAACATTCGACTTCACTGTATAGTGGAAGGGGCCGAAGAACACTCTATGGGAGTGGCTGCCTTTGTGGAGAATCTGCTACGAGCAAAGCTAGATATTCCTGCCACTACCGAGCTCAAGATTGAACGAGCCCACGATCCCTGGGTCCTAAGCCGCCACCCGAAGCCCCTCCACGATCAATAGTGGCAACATTCTCAAGCTTCAGAACCAAAGACGGCGTGCTGAGGTTGGCCTGGCAGAAAAAGGGGTTACCAGGAGAGGAAAGTGATACTGGAACATGATTATGCCCCGGAGATCCTCAAGAGGCGTCGGGAATACACAGAATAGAAAACAGTTTTGAGGGAGAATAAACTACGCTTTCAAACACCATTCCTGGCCAGGCTGAGGGTCTTATATGAGAAGGACACGCGAGTACAACTCAGCGGCGGAGGCAACCAAGGACATGGCACAACGAGGACTACAGGTTTCTGTCTACAAACCCGCAGTGAGTTGGTCAGACAAGATTAAATCCACGATGTGGCACACAGCCGGAGCCTCGGCAAAAGACACTCTGCCAATAACCACTAGAGCGGCTTACAAGAAGAAACTGGAGACGTATAGAAGAAAGTGAGGGTATTAAACGGACATGTTTGTTTTAAACATTATGGTCATACCAAATTGAAGTTAATCATTTTATTTTGTCTTATTATATAAATAACCCTGAAATTGGAAGACTTATAGTTTTGATATTTTTTGTGGGCAAAGTGTGTGGAGAGACTAATTACAGAAACGGTCACTCAAGGCTCGGGTTTATGTGTGCACGTTCAAGTACGGAGCAACGGGAGGGCCCTCTGAACCCTGGAGGCTGCAGAGACTATCCCTCTGAGCCAATAATACATCTTGGCTCACACAAGGTCACAAACATGTCCTCTTCATGAGCAGATTTGTTTCGTTTTTTCAATGTCTGCAATCCGAACTGTTCGGATCCTGTTCCCATTAAGTTTGAGTAGCCTTGGGGGAAGGCATTGGTTAAGAGTTATCTCAATTTTGAATAAAATATGGAAGATAATCCAGCTCCGATCGGAGTAGTTACTTATAATGTGAAAGGTGGGCTCAACCCTTTAAAAAGGACTACCATTTTTAATTTTTTTTAAAAAGACAAGGCAGGAATAGTATATTTACAAGACATGCTTTTAAAAGAGCCAGAACATGCTAAACTCAAAAGACAGGGCTTTGGTCAGGTTTTTTTCTCATCTTTCCCTTCTGGGCACCAAAGGGGGGTAGCAACGCAACACTCTTAAAACTAGTGGGTTAAAAAATAACGCAATCATAACCCAGCTGCTGAGTCACTATAGGACAGAACACGCGCTGGGTTGTCTTAACCCATGTGCTGGGCTGGATAATTTTAACCAATGTGCTGGGTTGTTTATTTGACCCAAGCTAGTGATTGAATTTAACTATATCACTGGGTTAAATATAAACCATACATTGGGTTGTTTATTTGACCCAAGCTAGTGATTTAAATTAACTATATCACTGGGTTAAATATAAACCATACATTGGGTTGTTCATTTGACCCAAGCTATTGATTGAAATTAACTATATTGTTGGGCTAAATAGAATATAATAATAATGTATAATAGTGTGTGAAGGCTGACAAGTGAGCGGCACGACCAAGTAAGGAGACAGAGGCAGAACGTCTTGATACAACCCGGTGTGGGTATTTATTCATCTTTGGTACATGGTTGACCACATCAAATCCCCCAATGACTGTCTCCCACACTATTCTCTGAAACAGAAAAACCCCAGAGCCTAAATGCACAACCCAATCAACCCAACAGGACACAGGTGAGGGGGGAGGAGACAACACAGGGCACCAGGTGCACACAATCAACGGCAACAGACATGGGGAAAGGGGAACACATTTCAAAATAAAATACAATAAACACTACATCAATAAATAGTATAAATTGTATAAAAATGCCCGAAGCCGTCAGTTCACAGTGACAAAGTTACCTTAGTCACATTTCCTTACCCCTCTCCCCAGGAAGCACAGTGTCTTAACTTCGGGACAACCAGTCAGCCACCCGGTTTGACTTCCCGGTTTGACTTAACCGCAAAGTTGTACGGCTGCAAGGCACCGGACCACGGCGCAATGCGCATGGTTGCATCGCTCTCTGGCCTTGGCCATTTTTCTTTCCTCGGCCATTTTTCTTTCCTCCATGGGTCTCCACTCCGCCCGGTGTTTCCTGGACTCCTCTATGTGCTGCGGAGTGGCTCTGACCTTCTCCAGCCTCAGCTGCCTCTGCACCGGATCCTCATCGTACCCCTTCCTGACCAGCTCCTCAACCGGGAGCTTCTCTGTCTCCGCTGTATTAGCTGCTTCAGCGTCTGAATTCGTTATCTTGGTGATCTCTATCCCCACGGCAACAACCTGCGGCCCCTTGTGCAGCGTGGTTTCCTCAGAGGGTGCCGTGATGTCGAAAGGAAGCTTCTCTTTCTTCTTCTTCGGGATCCGATCCTTTTTTGCTTCTTTGGGCTCATACTTGTGTTGCAGTTCCCCTACTCTGATCTGCAGTTTGATCTTGTCACTCTGAGTCTGTTTGAGCAGCCGTTCAGTTGAGTAGAGCTTCCTCTGCAGCTCCAAAACTCTCTGACGCTCTGACAGAGATTTCCTCCTGAGGTCCTGTATCCCTCCGTTCTTCACAGAGAGCATGGACTGCAACCTCTCCAGCTGAGCGGGGTCCGCCCGGAGCCGCTGCATCAGAGTGGCTATCTGCTTCTTCATGCTGAGGAGCTCCCTCTCGCGCTCCTCCTTCTCCTCCGCTGCAGGTGACGCTGTAGGCTCCTGTTGACCTTCTCCAGCTTCTCAGCGGCCGCTCGCTCAAGTTCCCTCTTCATCTGGCGGTTATTCTCCTCCAGGGTTTTGATCAGCTCCTTCTTTCTGGCCTTCTGGGCCGTGAGCTCTGCCTGTCTCTGTCTCTCCGTCTCTCCAGCTCCTCCAGCAGCTGACGCTCCATGATCTGCTCCGCCTTCTGTTGGTTTCTACGGTCCTGCTCCCGGAGCTCCATACGGTACTCTTCAATCTGTTGCATCGCTTTTTCCGCTCTTTGGGCCTGGTCCCCATACCGGACGTTGATGCGGCCGAGCTCTTCAGCCAACCTGCCGTCTTGCCTCCGGAGTCTCCGTTCCTCTTCTATCTCAGATACCTGTTGTTGTATCCGTAAAAACTGCTGCTCTCCGGCTGTCTGAGACTGCATGATTAACATCATCTCCGTTAGTTCCTCAAACTTGCGGTTATTCCCCTCCATCATTTTCACCTCCTCACTTGGTCAATCCCACTTCTGACACCACTTGTG